TCTCCGCTTATGGTGGTGCTGATGTTGAGTACAGTTACGAACGATGGTTATCATGCGGTGACAAAGAAGTCTTATGGTGGTGCCCTTGTTTTAAACTCTGCATATTGTTGTTGTTCGGCTCTCTTATAGAACAAAAATGGTTGTGTGATCTTATTAGTGTGTTTCATAGATCAAATTATGGGTTGTCCTTCATATTATTTCCACTCGTCTAGTTCGGCCGGTTATCTTCGCATCGACGAGGGAGCTATGTGATTGTGCCCTAGTTTTGTGCCTGTGTTTCCCTCTCTTTTGGTTTGTTTCCTCTGTTTCGGGTGATTTATTGTCAGGTTTTATGTTTTTCTTCTTGTTTTTTCTTCTATTAGTTTCCATCTTTATAGTGAATATTCCTAGGTCTATTTTTTCTTTTGAAAGGCATTAACCCACATGGAAATGTCCTTGACATAGTCACATGTGAATACACTTTGGTGCTATTCATGGTTTTAGTGCAGCAGCTCATTCAGTGTTGCTTTTAATGCTGCTTTGCTGTGCATTGCATTGCTTTTGTTTGTCTTATTAGGTAAAACATTGTTACTTATCATTGTAATATACCAATTTGCAATTCCATTTTACAGGTTGCATATGACTTCTGCCATGATAAATGCTCGACTAAACAAAATTCTTGCTTTTTATCTTCTCTCTCACTTATGAATATGATTCCTTGAAAATCCATATTTAGGTTATTATTGGAAATTCAAACTCTACAAAAAAATCTATAAGACATGATTGATTTGGACATGGATGACTTGATATGAAAAAGAATCAATTATGATAAGTGAAAGATGGCTTAAGAATGCAAAAAATCAATAGAAATAAAATTTGGTTAAGAAAGCTGCAAAGACTTTTATGTTTAACCTTTTGAATATTCTTTTATTTTCCTTGCTGTTAATCCCTTTCCAATGTAATTTAAATTTTGCTTTGTTATTATAATGAAACAATTTATTATAATGCATTGGGATTTATTAGTGAAATTTGTTCTATCAGATGAAACAATACATTTGATTTGTATCATTAACCAACATATTTATTAGTTAAAAACTAAAAGCATTGTCCACATCATAAACTAATATAATTCATAGTAAATCGTATTATCTCATATCGCAACTAATAAGACTCAAAAATTCTCAAATAACATTATAACGTCGAACTACATTAAAATACAATCCATAGTCGGTACATAATAAATATTAATACTCCATAACCTAATTGATTGCAGACGTCATCCCAGTACAATATGAATTGTTTAATTTATGGAGGTTCCTGAACCAACATAAATTAATTTATTACTCCATATTAGCTAAAGAAATCTGCAACTTTATTAATATACAAATTTATATAAATGACAAGAAATTTAAAAACATGTTAAATAACAATTTAAATAATAATATTAGAAATAAATATATGAAAGCAGGCATTTGGAATTAATATATACCTCTCGATCTAAGGTCCTTTACGTTGTGTGTATACTCTCTGCAATCATTTCATTTTGTTTTCAAGATTAGTCATAGTTTGCCACATTTCTCTATTCCTTCTTAAACCTAAAAACTCAGTAGTAAAACCAAGAAAATCATCATTGATATGAACTTCTTCAATTGAACGCAGCTCGGTCATAACCTCACGAATACTACACCCTTCCTGATCTTTACTAATAGATGTGGAATTACTATTATTTGACATGCTGTCAAACATTTGATCCCACTATGACAGCAGTTGAAACTCAATTTTGAAATTCCTTTTTTTTTTTTTCCCTCCAGCTTGAACCTCAAACCGTTTTCTTTCTTTCCTCTTCCTACTACTGTGGCTGTTGCTATTAGTAGACATACTAACCCCTTTAACCATGCTGCAAACATCATCGATAAAGTTTGAAATTCTGTCTTTTTCAGAATCATCGCTTTCTTCTTCCAAATCGGGCTGTTCAACATTGGTATGATGATTGCCATCAACACTGATATTATGATCAGGTAAGACTCTAGACGATAGTGCCCACGCGTAATCACCGGTAGCAACAATGTTTGTGAACATTCTATTGTACTTCATACACAAGGACGGTTCGATACTAGCATGTCTAAATTTCTTGGCCCCCCTTATTTCTTATAAAAAAGAAATAAAATTATTTCATACAACTTAACCTAATTTATTAATAACTGAACTCATATGTAAAAAAATTAAGGATTAAGGATCGTGCTAAATAACCTGAATTTTAGATTTCCACCACTCATCATTAGTAGAAATTGTTTCTAATTCAGTACTTCAACCCACACCAGTTTCAAATGAGCTTCTTCCATATCCTTCAATCCTTTTTGCGGCCATCCTATTTGTTCTTCAGTTGTGCCTTGATGAATACATGCCCAGTGTGTTATTTGAATGATGCTAATAAATATTTCCAACTAGCTTTGTCGAAATGAGTATTTGGTCTCATTCCCATGTCGATAGCCTTGATGCAAAGGTCACAAAAGACATGCAACGTTTCTTTAGTCCATGCTGCTTTATCCATATTTTTAGGAGCTTCCATTCCTAGTTCATTCATTATATTTGGAAGCAAAAATAATGAGTTATAAGAAACAGTGAATGTGACGTCTAATTGAATGCAAATATAGTTAATGTACTCAAACAATCAACAATGATGATTAAAAATGAAATGAAAAGGTTGAGACTTCCATTTCTGAAAATGAACTTAGAGCATCCAATATATATAAATAAACTTTCACATTAGGTAAATGCCTTAAAATTTCCTTGCCCGACATAGTTCCTTTTTATATGCTATGTTTATAAACATGCATCAATGATCAGAGCATTTGATAGCATACAAGCCCTAAACAATTACAACGACACAAACAGTTAGCAATAGTAAAATCAGAATTGAAAGACAGTTAATAAGAACAATCACCAAAGTTTATAGTTTTGCACAATCATAAAGCCACATGACCGAGAAAAGCATATGGATAGTTAATCCAGCAACTAACAAAATATATTTTAATTTCAGTATGCAAACCCAGCAATGGTTATAGTTATTTAACATAACTGACAACAACATATTGTCACAGTATTGCAAACAAGAATATATTCCAGCACCCTCTCTAGGCAAGTAGTTACATAATTATAAAAAACAAAAACACATTACTCGATTTTACACCAGTTTCTCTTTTTTGTTTCCAAACGAGTTTGCAAGAGTAATGTTATTATGCCTCCTACACCAACAAAAAACTGCAAAGAAATTCATCAACAATACAAACATAATTGTCAGAAACAATTAAATAAACAAGTAGCCATTTACTGTTGTGGAGTTGAAACAAGTCCACAAGGCTGCAGAATTGTTTGCTATTACATCATAAGAACTTCAGTTGCAGGAAGCAGAGTGATGTCAAGGAAAACTGGAAATTGACGAGTTGAATACTTGTTGTAATTTGTAATCCTAACTCAATTTAGATGTAATATGAATTTCAGATCAAACTCAACGTTGACCCATGTTTTTTTATAAATTATTAAAAGCTAGAACTGTATATTTCTTTGCAAAACCACATGAATCATAACAGATAACTAAAAATTAACAAATTATTGTCACCAAATTTATTCTAAGTTAGGCAACTACAAAACAAAGAGAAGCCCAAAATCCATTTTGCATAAGCTCAGCAGATTTGCCAAAATTTATTCACTAGCAGGTAAGACGTGGTTCATTACTATATAAGAAGTCATGAACCATTAAGTAAAAAATTCTAATTTTTCTTTGTTCATATTCTTTTCCTTTAACTTCTAATCATCTCTTTCATTACATCACCTTTAAACTCTGAAAACAAGCACACTAAACAACTTTGAGGCTTCTCAACTCCTACATTTGAGTTAATATAAGCATAAGATGATCTCTTAAATCCAACAAAGAATTTACTTTGCAAGCATTCATGATTCTCAAGTCTAGTGATCCATTCTCAACCTTTTAGCCCAATCATCAACTTTGAAAATAACATCATCCTCGAGGGGTTTTCACTAAACCTCATCACCAATCCTTGTGTATCTTGCATTTTTTGCACTACCAAACACTTCAATTCCAAAAGGTGGCTCGTAAAAAGTTTCCATAGTAGCTGCCAGCAAAATGGCAATATATTTCAAGCATTTGCATTTTCCACTCTCTAGTCTTTTCTACATTCCTAGATCCATAGGCTTCTACAATGAAAACATCAACTTTAATCATTCTAACAAATCATTTCTAATTCTTCGGTATCACAGCTCAAATTCATACAGATTGAATGTACCGACAAAACATAGTTACACCATATTCTAATCCAGTAAATCCAACCAAAATTATTAACAACAAAGAAGCTAAATATAAACAAATTCGTACAACACCAAAATTATTCTTATTTCAGCAACTACAACACAAACAAGTCCAGATCGTGTAATAATTTTGTACAAGATCAGCATAGCGTCAACATTACTCATTGTGAAAGAAAAAGCAAAAATGAGAAAAATACCTTTGTTTACTGATCGACAAGATCAACAATATTGAAGCACGTCTCGAGCAAAAAAAAGTAAGGAAAATTCGTTTCCACAGTAGATGAGAGAAGATGGTCGGAGGAGATAAATCTACGAATTTATTTGCAGAGAGATGAGTCAAATCTAACCCACAACAATCAAGCATCACTATTCGTTCTTTGATGATCTGATTTTTTTAATGAATCGAAGAGGAACTAGGAGGTTTGATTTTCCACCAATAGCTTCAATTTGTGGTCGACGGGCTATTGAAATTTTTGCAAGGATTTTTTTTAGGAATCAAGGAGGAACTGGGAAGTTTGTTTTCCTCCAACAGCTTAACAAGTGTATTTTATGATCGATGAAAGTTAGTTTTGCTCTAGATTTTTTGAGGAATCAGGGAAAGGGAGTTTGATTTTCTAGTTGTTGGTTGTTTTTTCAGTTTTTTAATTGTGGTTGATGGAGAAACTGAGGTTAAGAAGAATGATTCTCATGCTTTTGATAAAACATCATTTCATACACACTTTTCTAATGGGTCCCACCAACAGGTTTAACATTTATCAAACACATGGCACTGTGGTTGCCCTTCAATGTCATACGCAACCACAACGCCAAACAACATCTTAATATCATGCTTAACATTGTTAAATTATTTAATACTTATCATTTTATTAATTATTTTATCAATGTTTACCATTGCACTTAATACACACACCATTGATGCATTATTAATTATTTCATTCCATATGAAATTATCTATTAAATTTAAAAAAATTAACATTTTAAATATTATTCATAATTTTTTCATCTAAATTTAATAATTTCTAAGAGTTTTATTGATTGGTCGACGGTTTCTTTATAATATTTAAACTAACATAAAAATACTTAGCATAATCTATCTATAAAAATGTAAAAACTCATAAGAATACAGGTTGTTGGTGTTGACACATATATACTTATTTTGTAAATTGTTGTTGACATTAAATTAAGAGTTTTTAACGACAAGAATTATTATTATAATAAAAAAATAAATTATCCTTGAGGCCATATAACAACCATAAGAATGTGGGATTCAATATTTAGGTTTTTTGTTATTTAGTTTATTTTTAACATTTTAAATTATTCTAAATATGGATTTCCAAGTTAAAGCTCAACTTTTAATATGAGTTTGCTTGATTTTTATGAATAGATAAATATCTTTGAGGCTATAAATTGGTATTTAAGGAGAGCGTTGCTCATTGTATTCTATTACCATCTTTATACAAACAAATTTTTAGTATAATTTTCTCTCAAGCTTTACACTTTACGATTTATCTTTCTGCAATATACTTTTTTTATAAGTTTATTATTTATTTATAGAAATATCTATAGCCTTATTTACATATTTATTTATTTATTGTTTTTATTAGCGTACATATATGATTTATTTTTATTGACATTCTTAGTGGGAACATAATGAAGAAGATGAATAAAAACATTAAAATACAAGAATGCATTTAGGAAAACACATTATAAAAATTAGCACAGTGAAAAGATTAATCATAATCTACTTTCAAGATTAATATAATTAATCCCTTCCTTACCATCACCATCCATATGTATTGGCATTTAAAACATATATTCTTCTAACTTCTTTGCTAATAATACTTTCTACTTAATGATGTATTCGGACCTCTACTTAAATGGTAGTCTTTAATTAATTGCCTCCTCCTCATCCTTACTAGGATGAAACACATCATAAATTTTCAACATTGGTGTCTAAAGTTGATTTTAACCAAGATTTTACTACATATAAGTAAGTTCAGAAGGCTAGCTCTTGGATAATTATTGATAATTTTTTGTTAAGAAAACTCAATATGATTGAGATTATTATAAATGTTATTTAATTAGACTTGAAAAACATGATGAATAATAATTTTTTTTCAATGTTAATACATTCAATCTAATAATATAATATACGTTAATCTTATAGAAAAAGCCTGAACAACTCCAATGAGGGTGTAACAATAACAAATTATTAGGAGACATTTTCTTCTTTACCTATATTATCTTCTTAACTAATTGCTTGATCTTTTGGCTATAACTGCTCTCAGACAAAGTGTGAAATATTCTCTTAATGTACATGTTAATGAGATAAATTATACTATTATGTCCAAGCTTCTAGTATCATAGTTTATTTCCGTACAATATTATATATCTGCTCAAAATTTATTAACCATACATACAACCTTATTAGTTTATCATATAATCATAATAGCACCATAATGCATCTCTTGTATATGTTTTTATTATAACAATAAGTATATTCAACAACAACATTATAAGCAAGCTCATGTTAGATACTATAATCATCTTGACCATGTCTTAATCAACCATGATCATTACCCTATATAATTAACTTATTGAATTGATTTGACATTTGTAAGGTATTCAAATTAATATGAATAAATTTCTAAACAAAGCTATAACTAATTAATAAAATGATATAGTCATAATAGACATGTTGGTTAAGAATCCTTTTTGAGATTTATATTACTGGATCTCTCATAAAAAATACGTATTATTAGTACTTCATATTAAATATTAATTCCGTTCATTTATGGAGAGAAAATTCATTAAGAACTTTTATGGATCAAAACTCAAAATCATAATGGCTGAATTGGAAAATATATTCAAGAATACAGGGAATTGATCAATACTTATACTCAATGATTTAGAAATAACAAGATAAAATGTCTACACCATCCTCTAAAGGTCAGTTATGTAAAGATAACATTGAAGGGAATGCAATAACCTATTTAAAAGAAGTTTACTATAAATGTTTTTGATATTCATGTTTTAACTAGCTAAGTTACTTGATATGAGTTAATGCTAAGTAATTGTCCTGCTATGAAATCCTTGAGGGGTAGATATACAACTAATACCATTATGAATTATCTCTATAATATAAGGTAACTAAGGCCAATTTTAAAGATTGAGGATTTGAAGAAAGATCTGGAAAATGACTTAATTTGTGTGACAAAATTATAAAATATAAAATCTTCTGTATTGGTAGCCTTATAAAAAATTCAATTCAGAAGATATATTAATTGATAAGAATGATAAGTCCAAAACCATTAAGGATACTTGGTTTGCTTAAAATATTGGATTAACTTATATATAGGTTGAAAATCAAAATGATTAAAGATTATGATTATTGGAAGTATACTCTACAAAAAAAAGATGATTTTCAAAAATAAAATAATAAAAAAACCAGAAGCAAACTGTGCTAAGTTTGTTGAGAAAAAGATGCAAATTAATAAGGATATCTTTTCAAAAGTGGTCATGGTCATGACTTCTGTCAATGATATAAAAGTACCTAATCTAAGAACAAAGCAAAGAGCTACACCTAAAAGGCCAAAAAATAAAATTAGAATTGGGTGAATGGAGAAATATTATCCATTCAAAGTTAAAAAAAAAAAACTTTTGTTCAATAATAGGTCATAAAATCTATACCAACATTAAAGATTGAATTGGTTGAAAAAATAAATAAAAGATTCCAATTCTAATAATTAGATATATCTTGCATCAATATATATATCCCTGGTCCTCGAGAAGGTTTGAGTAAAACAATAAATGAAGTAACTTGAGAGAAAGAAATAGAAAATAATTTTTTTATTATTATAAAATGATTGACAAGTGTTGCCATTAACCATCCTAAATATAAGGTTGATATATCATCCAAGTTATAGATATGGATAAGAAAGAGATCACTTTAATTAATATGCATGGCATTCAC